GCTTTGGGCCCATAAGAACTTTTTGGAAATGTAGCGACCATTTTGGATTGAAGTCACCACTTCATCGTGACGTACGAGGGATTATGGCCATTTTTCGAAAGAATGAGCACTTGCATATTTCGAACGCTTGGATTGTCGGCGTACGAAGAATTGAGCATAACTTTTGCACACGGTGTCCGTTTTGGGCCCATAAGAACTTTTTGGAAATGTAGCGACCGTTTTGGATTGAACTCACCACTTCGTCGTGACGTACGTGGGATTTTGGCCATTCTTCGAAAGAATGAACTCTTGTATATTTAGAACACTTGGAGTGTCGGCGGACGAAGAATTGGGCGTAACTTTTGCACACGGTGTCCGCTTTGGGGCCATAAGAACTTTTTGGAAATGTAGCGACTGTTTTGGATTGAACTCACCACTTTGTCGTGACGTACGAGGGATTTTGGCCATTCTTCAAAAGAATGAGCACTTGCATATTTAGAACGCTTGGAGAGTCGGCGGACGAAAAATTGAGCGTAACTTTTGCACACGGTGTCCGCTTTGGGCCCATAAGAACTTTTTGGAAATGTAGCGACCGTTTTAGATTGAACTCACCACTTCGTTGTGACGTACGTGGGATTTCGGCCATTCTTCGAAAGAATGAGCGCTTGTATATTTAGAATGCTTGGAGAGTCGGCGGACGAAGAATTGTGCATAACTTTTGCACACGGTGTCCGCTTTAGGCCCATAAGAACTTTTTGGAAATGTAGCGACCGTTTTGGATTGAACTCACCACTTCGTTGTGACGTACGTGGGATTTCGGCCATTCTTCGAAAGAATGAGCGCTTGTATATTTAGAATGCTTGGAGAGACGGCGGACGAAGAATTGTGCATAACTTTTGCACACGGTGTCCGCTTTAGGCCCATAAGAACTTTTTGGAAATGTAGCGACCGTTTTGGATTGAACTCACCACTTCGTTGTGACGTACGTGGGATTTCGGCCATTCTTCGAAAGAATGAGCGCTTGTATATTTAGAATGCTTGGAGAGACGGCGGACGAAGAATTGTGCATAACTTTTGCACACGGTGTCCGCTTTAGGCCCATAAGAACTTTTTGGAAATGTAGCGACCGTTTTGGATTGAACTCACCACTTCGTTGTGACGTACGTGGGATTTCGGCCATTCTTCGAAAGAATGAGCGCTTGTATATTTAGAATGCTTGGAGAGACGGCGGACGAAGAATTGTGCATAACTTTTGCACACGGTGTCCGCTTTAGGCCCATAAGAACTTTTTGGAAATGTAGCGACCGTTTTGGATTGAACTCACCACTTCGTTGTGACGTACGTGGGATTTCGGCCATTCTTCGAAAGAATGAGCGCTTGTATATTTAGAATGCTTGGAGAGACGGCGGACGAAGAATTGTGCATAACTTTTGCACACGGTGTCCGCTTTAGGCCCATAAGAACTTTTTGGAAATGTAGCGACCGTTTTGGATTGAACTCACCACTTCGTTGTGACGTACGTGGGATTTCGGCCATTCTTCGAAAGAATGAGCGCTTGTATATTTAGAATGCTTGGAGAGACGGCGGACGAAGAATTGTGCATAACTTTTGCACACGGTGTCCGCTTTAGGCCCATAAGAACTTTTTGGAAATGTAGCGACCATTTTGGATTGAAGTCACCACTTCATCGTGACGTACGAGGGATTATGGCCATTTTTCGAAAGAATGAGCACTTGCATATTTCGAACGCTTGGATTGTCGGCGTACGAAGAATTGAGCGTAACTTTTGCACACAGTGTCCGTTTTAGGCCCATAAGTACTTTTTGAAAATGTAGCAACCGTTTTGGATTGAACTCACCACTTCGTCGTGACGTACGAGGGATTTTGGCCATTCTTTGAAAGAAGGAGTGCTTGTATATTTGGAATGCTTGGAGAGTCGGCGGACGAAGAATTAAGCGTAACTTAGACAGTTGTATACATTGTGAATAGAACACCAACTAGTGCCCTTGATGGGAAAACACCTGAAGAGGTATGGTCAAGTAAATTTGCTGATTATACTGGTTTAAGAACATTTGGTTGTGTTGCCTACTCTCACCAAAGTATAGGAAAACTTGAACCTAGGTCCAAAAAATGTGTGTTCATGGGATACCTTGGAGGAGTGAAAGGGTACAGACTTTGGGTAAGAGATAATAAGGGTTATAAGATGATAACCAGCAGAAATGTATCCTTTAATGAAGTTGAGATGCTTTGTCTGAGTGAGAGGGTCTCCAAAGAGGCTTCTGAGAGTGAAAAGGTTGAAAGGGACACGTTCAGCCTGAACTCTTTAATGAGGATTAAGAAGACAATGTGGTTGATGAAGAGAGGGGTGATGGGACAGGTTCAAATGAACCTGGTGAAAGCAATGTTCAAGGGTCTAATAGTGAATTAGAGAATCCTTTAAGTGATTATTAGCTTGCTAGGTATAGGACTAGAAGGGAGATTAGAGAACCAGTTAGAATGAGTGATTATCTATCCCTTGCTGTCCTATCTTATCAAGACTTGGCATTTAAAGAGCTAAAATCTTATAAGGAAGCTGTTAGTTGCCCACTTTCTAAAGAGTGGCAGCTTGCTATGGAAGAGGAGATGAGATCCCTGATGAAAAATAATACTTGGGAATTAGTTTCCAAACCTAAAAATAAGTCTTTAGTAGATTGTAAATGGATTTATAGTATTAAAGAAGGAAATTCTCCTAAACAGCCCCTTAGGTTTAAGGCCAGATTGGTGGCTAAGGGTTTTATCCAAAAACCTGGCATTGATTACAATGAAATGTTCTCTCCTGTGGTTAAATACACTACTATAAGAGTCATGCTTGCTTTGGTAGCTCACTATGATTTAGAACTTGAACAAATGGATGTAAAAATTGCTTTTTTGCATGGTGATTTAGAAGAAACTATATATATGAGTCAGCCACAGGGCTTCATTGATGTTAAGAAATCTGATCATGTTTGCTCGCTAAAAAGATCATTATATGGCCTAAAACAATCACCGAGGCAATGGTATAAGAGATTTGATAATTTTGTGTTATCAGTTGATTTTGTGAGAAGTTCTTTTGACCAATGTCTTTATTTTAAAAAGGGTAACAGCAACTCTGTGATTGTTTATTTGCTCTTGTATGTTGATGATATGTTGTTAATTGGCCAAAATATAAGTGATATTAATGACATTAAAAGGGTTTTAAGTTCTGAATTTGAAATGAAGGACTTAGCCATGCTAGAAGAATTTTGGGGATGGGTATTAAAAGGAATAGATCCCAGCAGTCACTTATTTTAACACAATCTGATTATGTGAAAAAGATGTTATCTAAGTTTGCTATGCATGAATCCAAGTCTGTTACTTTACCCCTTGCATGTCATTTTAAATTGAGCAAGGATCAGTGTCCTGTTGATGAGTCTAACATAAAATACATGCAAAAGGTCCCATATGCAAATGCTATTGGATCTGTCACGTAAACTATGGTATGTACTAGACCTGATGTTGTCCATGCTATTAGTACTTTAAGTACGTTTATGGCAAACCCTGGTCCTGAACATTGGACAGCCCTGAAGTGGCTACTTAGATACTTGAAAGGTTCAGCTGACTTAGGTTTGTGTTTTAAACCTTGTAAGGAGGGAGTTATCTTGAAGATATATGTTGATTCTGACTATGCTAGTTGTAGGGATGATAGAAAGTCAACTACCTCTTATATGTTTACTTTATGTAATACTTGTATAAGCTGGAAATTTCAGCTGCAGTTTATTGTAGCTTTATCTACCACAGAAGCTGAATATGTGGCTGCAATTGAAGCCATTAAAGAGGCTTTATGGCTTAAAGGTTTGTTAAGTGAGATAAATGAAATTGTTGATCCTGTTGTGGTTTATTCTGATAGTCAAAGTGCCATCCATTTATGCAAAAATCTTGTTTTTCATGAAAGAACTAAGCATATAGATATTATGATGCACTTCATTAGAGATATAATCCAAAAGGAATCTATTTTACTTGAAAAAATTCCTACACAATTTAATCCAACTGACATGGGAACAAAGGTACTTCCTCTCAACAAGTTTAAGTCATGTTTGCAAATTCTAAGAATTGATACTGGGAAATCTTTGTGATGCTGCAGGTACAATTTGACTTGGTGCTTATGATTTTGGAGAAACTGCTATGAATGTGTTCAAAGATGTTCATTGTTGCATTTCTCTAATGGTTTGATCATTGG